GTAAGTATGTAAGTAAGTATGTATGCAAGTATGTAAGTAAGTAAGTAAGTATGTATGTATGTATGTATGTATGTAAGTATGTAAGTAAGTAAGTATGTATGTATGTATGTATGTAAGTATGTAAGTAAGTATGTATGTATGTATGCATGTATGTATGTAAGTATGTAAGTAAGTAAGTATGTATGTATGTATGTATGTATGTATGTATGTATGTATGTATGTAAGTATGTAAGTAAGTAAGTATGTATGTATGTATGCATGTATGTATGGGCTTACAGAGATGGGTGCGTTCTGTAGCCCGAGAATTACGGTACTTCATCAAGTTCTGCAGAAGCCAGTTAATCACCCATTCATTCAAATCAAGGAAACAACTACAACATGCAGGATGGTGTTCCTCAAGGACCAGAGTTGGGAGCCACTGCTTTAGAGAATAACATGGAAGGTTCGTTGCCAAGAGTTTTTTTGTTTTTCCTATGCAAACTGATTTTGCTCCTGAATGAGCCAATTAATTAGTTTTTAAAATTTGTCTCCTGGAGTCAAACATCACAGGATAATTTATTCAATCACTGTAAATTACACAACTATACAAACACCAAATAAACTGGGAACAAGATCATATATTACACTTAAATGTGTTTCTAAAAAAGAAGCTGATTCTTTACTTAATTTCACACACACAGCATAGAGGTAAGGATTGAGCTGCAGTTAAATGATGCTGATGTTATGAAGATGTGTTTTACCTCGGAGGATTGGCCTCCAGCTCCTGCAGCTTCTCCTCAAGCTTCACCTGCACCTCCGCCAACTCATCGTACTCCTGCATGAGGACAAGGCAAACAGGAAGAATAAAGAGCTGCATAGAAGTAAAACCAGAGATAAAAGAGAAAGTGTGTGGACAATACAGCCCAAAGGTTCAGGTCATGTAAGGATGAGCAGCACGAACACAGGGACCTGACACTTCATCAGTTCACCACAGCACAGTAAACTACAACAATTAAAGTCAAAAACAGCTTCCCCCTCTCTGCTTCTACAATCCTGTCGTATGGAAACACAGACTCTTAAATGGTCCGTCTGTGTTGGTCAGAAGGTGTATACACATCTGCAGACATAAAAGCCATCAGAGCGTGAGCACCTTGAAGTGGTTTCTCAGACAGTGCATGGATTGCAGACAAAACCAGTTCAGATCCCAGCTGTGTTTAAACCAACTAAAACATCCGTCTGAAACACACCCACACACACACATCGCTGATTTATTCACTCCAAAAATAAAACACCAGCTCTCACTAATAATACATTCAAGCAGGACATTAAACCATGTAAACACAGCCTGTCTGGTTTGCTTAGACAGCACGGCATTAAAATCCTCTCAGGCGTATGCCCTGATCAGGTAGCTCATAAAATATTCCCTTTAATTTCAAAGTTCTTATTCTAACATTGCAATCAAGCTATAAACTATGGTTATAAACTAATGTTGCCCTTTAGATCAAAGTTTCTCTGCTGCAAAATGTGGTGAGCAACCTCCGGAGTTGTGGATAAATCTACTAATCAACTACAGGAAGTCTTGGTTTAAACTACAGCTAATATAAACACAGCTTTAAAACTTCAGATGCTTTGACTGGAGGATTCGGAGTCCTGATTTTTGTGTTTGAGGAACTTTTTTTGACGGAATCATTATTTTTGCCTCACTTTGCAGAGTGCGGCGAGGTCGCGGTGCTTGCTCTTCACCAGGAACTCAGCTGTGATATCTCTGGGAGGTTTGACTTCGCTTGCTTCTTTAAACTGCTGATGGAGCTCCTTCACACGCTCCCTAGTGGACACCATCTGAAAGGCGAGGGGAAGTGGGGGGTGGAGTTAGCAGCAACATGATTTATTTGAGGCTGCAGACAACTAAACTTGGTCGTCACCTTGTTGAGAAGATCCCTGAGTTCTTCCTGAGTCTTTACAATCTTCTTCCAGTGCTCGATCTGCTCGTCTTTGACATGTTTCTCTTGCAACCTGCGCAGATGCACGATCAAACGTTACAGTTTTTGTACTTGTACACATTTCTACTGTTGTTCTCTGTACTTACTGGATGACCACCTCTAAGGCTTGTCCCAGAGAAACGGGCTTGTTGTTGAGAAAGTTGAAGTCCAGCTGGTGGCTGAGGTAAGAAGTAGCCTCCAGCAGGCGGTTGAACTCCTGCTCCACCATCTCATCTTTCTCTTTAGGCACCTGAAGACAAGCCGATAAGGACAATGTGGCTTAAGAGCAGGTAAAACACTGCAGGCTCAAAAATAACTGAGCACATTATCTGTGTGGATATGAAAAATTACAACTAGGGTTGCAAAGTATCAGGAATTATTTAAGCTGGAATAAATTAAGAATAAACCTGAAATTTAAAATATTGAAAGTCGGCTCCAACAGGGATTTTAAATATATCGTAATTTCCGGTGTATAAGCCGTTACTTTTTTCACATGCTTTGGACACCGCAGCTTAATGTGTCTTATTTATTTATTTAATATTTACTTTTTTCACTAGCTAACGAGCTTTCTGACGCCAAATAGGCCTGTCACTATAACAAATTCTGCTGGGCGATTAATTGTCTCCGATATTATTGCGATAAACGATAATATTGTTTGAAATTTGACAATAATTAGTAATTATTGTCAAATTTAAGAAGAAATTTTTAATTTGTTTTGTGTGTTGTACCTTTTTTTGATCACCGGATGGCAGTATAAGACTGTTTGAACTGAAGGATGGATAGTGAGTGAGCAAGCAGCGCTTTTCTTTAAGAAAAATGGGAGGGAGGCCCATTGACGTGACATGGGCTGTCTCTCTTCAGTTCTCAAAATGTTGGACGCTCGGTGTGGTTTGAGCTCTTTAGCATAGCATTTGTCACACAAAGCTTTTAATAAAAAAAATCAGTAAAAAAGTTCTCAGCTTCTTTTTGCAGTGAAAACCAACTTTTTACACGAAGACGCAGGTTTTAACTGTGAATTTTGGAGCTTCGACAAGACGTGAGGATTTTTCCCCAAGGTCAGCCTGTTAGCTTAGCTTCTCAGCTTAGCTGCTTTTAACGATTCAAAAACGTGATTCAGGACTATTAAAACAGATTTAAACGAGAAAGGGATTGGTCAGTGAAGAGCACCGGAGTTGAGCTTCTTGTCATCCAGTGTCTTCAGTAGAAAGAGAGACACGAAGAAACGATAAAGCCGATAAATGCCAAAAACATTTAGAGGTAGCTTCGTCAGCACTGTTCTCTCCAGTGATTACCAGTAGTCTGCTCTTCTTACACTAGATTTTATGTTCATTCAGTAGGTTATAGGTTACCATATTTAGTAGAGTAACCATGGGTCAGACAGGGTGTTATGAAGGCCTGTGAGGATCAGCTGTCTGTGTGTGTTGAAAGCAAACCAAAGTCTATGAAACGCCATCTGGTGGTTGATTCTTGTACTACAACAAGAGCTGCACATTCTTTCAGGAGCTGTGTACAGTTTCTGTTATTAAAATGTGGGCGTCTGTGACTTATACACGAGCATGGCTTATTTATGTAAAAATTTGTTTTATTTTAAATTTAGTGTGCACGGCTTATAGTCAGGTGAGCTCTATAGGGCAGAAATGATGGTAATTGCCATTTCTACCCACCATCAATTGGTGTAAACACAAATTTCTCTTCATATACCAACGTTTATGTATTTTTTATATAAAGTGTTTGAGTAAGAATATAAGAGAGTAAATAAACAATGAAAGCCAACGGGAATTGTTGGGAGTGTGATTTGGATTGATACGAAGTAATTTTCCAACTTGGGGCATTTCCAAAATTCCCCTGTGGAAAACTCTAAAAAGTTTATGCTCCTTTGCAAACCTAATTTCACCTACAAATAAACAGAAATAAAATGATGGATTTAATAATATTTTAAGAACTCTCCATGCGACACAATGTATTTAATGCATTCAGAGTAAGCTTAAATGTACTTTTAATCATAATATCCCATGCCAGGATGAACATGCATGATGCCACGTTAATACAGACACTGTTAGCAGAGAACAAGCAGCTGAAGGTTTACAGGCAACACTCACCTCCATTAACACATATTCCATATGTCGCTGTAAACATCTTTTACTGCAAATCTGGTCTCTGCTGAACTCTACTCATGCCAATGTCAAGAGGTTTTTTATGTGTAATACCTTAAGGTTTACAACACTAAAATAATATTATTAAACCTAAAACATATTTTATGAATTATACTCCATATACATAAAAAAGCTAAATAAACTCTTTGTTGTTGTAAAACAATTAGGGTTACTACATGGATAAAATGGTTACCGGTACATAGACCTGTCGCGATAAACAAATCAATCGCATGATAAATGAAAATTATCAACCTCATTTTCATTTATCGGCTTCATTGTTTCTTGGTGTCTCTCTTTCTACTGAAGACACTGGATGACAAAAATGTCAACTCTGGTGTTCTTCACGGACTTCCCTTTCTCTTTAAAATCTGTTTTAACCGTCCAAAATCACGTTTTTGGACGGTTAAAAGCAGCTAAGCTGAGAAGCTACGAGCTAAGCTAACAGGGCGACCTCAGGGGGAAAAAAAAAACTCAGTTTTGTCTAAGCTTCAAAATTCACAGTTAAAAACCCGTGCCTTTGTGTAAAAAGCTGTTTTTCTCTACAAAAATAAAAAGCTGAGAACTTGTTAACTGATTTTTTATTAAAAGTTTTGTGTAAAAAATGCTATGCTTAAGAGCTCAAACCACACCGAGTGTCCGTCATTTTGAGAACTGAAGAGAGACAGCCCATGTCATGTCAAGGGGCCTCCCTCCCATTTTTATTAAAGAGACACGCTGCTCACTCCCTCACTATCCATCCTTTGGTTCAAACAGCCATCTGGTGGTCAAAAAAGGTACTACACTCCAAACAAATCAATAGTTCTTCAAAAATTCGACAATTATTGTTGAATTTCAAACAATATTATCATTTATTGCAATAATTTCTGAGACAATTAATCGCACAGCAAAATTTGTTATCGTGACAGACCTACCGGTACATAAACAGAAAAAACTACAACAACAAAAAGAGAGCTGAAACATTTAAGAGTCAAACTGAAGAATAGATTATAAATAAAACAGATACATACACTCGTGCACCGTTCACCCTTTAGAAGTTCACCAAAAGATGAACATGTGAAGGACAGAAAAGAAGGGGGGGGAGAGAGAAGAAGGACATGTTGAGTAAACACAGCATTAACCTCAATCAGGTTTGCACAAAAGTAAAAACACAGACATAGAATTTGTCTTGTTCCTCTCAGAGGAGGAAACCACACGATGTGGATGCTTTAAATGTTTGAAGTCCAGTTTCTGCTTTAATGCACTTTCAGGAAACCCCAACTATCCACTTACAGGACACAAGAACAAAATCTAATGTGAAATGAACATGAATGTGTTCTGACCTGTGCTGAGAGGAAGTAAAGCTGTTTCTATACGACACACACGTTTAGAAAAACAGGAATGAGCTGAAAGGCAGAGCACGTTGGTGCAGAAAGGGAACTTCTACTAGCAAAGAAGGAAACAATACGAGGCTCTGGCTTCAAAAATAACCACTGGAAACACATCTGACACGACAGAATGCTTCATGGATATCAATTACAAATTTTGTTTACAGGATTTAGAGTAGGAGCAGATTATAGTCATGTTTTATTTTAAAACGTGATCCGTTACAGCAACACAAGACATACTTGTGTTGTTCTTTTTGACGTTGAATTCAAGCATTCACAACAATGAGAAAAGTGTGTGAACAAATAAAAACACACAAACTGAATTTAGAACTAGAATTTAAAAAGAAAAGAAGCTTCAACATCATTACACTTTGTGGTTGTGGGAAACATGATGTTGTTAACTTCTGTTTCTGACCCAGTCCACCTTTTTGAATCAGGTTTTAAATAATGATTTGATTGTGACAACAACATTGTTCACAGACTTCGTGCTCCCAGCACTAGGCATGGTGAGTCATTATAGGTCAGTTTGAGTAAAGCAAAGTTTTCACAGTCGGCTCAGCAGAATGAATCACAATCACGCCTACATCACCAAAAGCCTCCTAACATTTATCAACCTGTCTTTGATTCTTAGGAAAAACTCATTATTGATGGAGTTGGTTGTGATTTAACAGTTTGAAATGATACTCACAGCCTGGCCATTAGCTTCATACAGCGGACACTTCTGTTTGATCTTGGCCAGCTCCATGTTAACCTGCTTACTGACCACAGCCATAGGATTCCCTCCTGAGTGGAAGAAACACAAACAGACACACAACAATATTAAGCATCGTCGCCCTCTACAGGATGATTAGTGTAACTACAGAAGACCACTGATCAAGCAGCTCTCTTAAATTATGTGCATTTGAATATACAGGTGCATCTCAAAAAATTAGAACATTGTGAAAATCAATATGGATGTGGAGGATCTCAGAGAAACGGATGTTTACTTTCTAAACACAACGTCCCAGTGGCTTTTAAACTCCAAAATACATTACAGCAAAGACCAGTCCATCTCAAATATCCAGTCCCTCAGCATAAACAGAGTAATATTGTGTATGCTGTTCAGTGTCAGGAGGGTGATCAGTCTTACATCGGGGAAACTAAACAGCCACTGGCCAAAAGGATGGACCAGCACAGAAGATCAACATCATCAGGTCAGGACTCAGTGGTTTACACTCATCTCCAAGCCAGCGGTGCAACAGAGCTTTAGGGCCACAATAAGAAAAAAAAAAAAAGGCTCCGGTCTTCCCTGTGTTGCCATCGTGTCCTGTGGGAACAGGTCTGTGGGTCCCCACATCCACTATTGAACATTCTTATGGAGAAACCTTATAGTGTTAAGCATGCTCACACAGGTGTTTAGATCCAGGTGTTTATCAGATACACACTCAGTTGGGTTGTGGTGGCCACTAAATATATCTTGTATTACCATGTACTGTATAAAATACTTTCTAATGATGTTACAAGTATCATTATATAAGTTGTTTGTTGTTGTGGTTTCTCGGTTTTGTCTTGTTTTTTCTTTCTGCAGGTCTAGAGTCAGACTTCAATAATGTTGATTTGTGTTCTCTTTATCTCTCTCTCTCTCTCTCCTCTATTCCTATCTCCTTTCCCTTTTAACCCTTCTCCCACTTTTCTGCTTTGTTTTTCATCCCCGTGTCCATTACATCTGAAACAAGCCCAAAGCAAATTCTAATGAAGTTTTATTTATATATCAAGTGGAGCATTAAGGCCAGCCATAATGCTCTGCTTGTGAAAGTAAATCTGTTGGGCATCACCTTGACACAGACAATAATTCTGAGTGTCACAATGCCGGACAGGACAAGGGAGGAAAAAAATAAATAAATAAAAAAAAAAAAAAAAAAAAATATATATATATATATATATATATATATATATATATTTATTTGATATATACACATATATATTAAAAGTCTTAAAATTACGAGAATAAAGTTGTACAAGACTATTTTTTTGCAGCTCTCGTTAATTTTTTGCCATAAGTTGGATCCACGACGTGACCTGTCAATCAATCCAGTAGGCGTGTCAGCAAATGCCCAATCTGAAGCTAAATGCTCTTTACCTGCAGAGCTGCTGCTGCAGCCCACCAGAGTGTACCACCTTACTGTAAATCCTGATACTGATAATAATCTGATGCTGATGTGCTACAGATTAACCATCTCCTTATTTGTAAAACCAATACCAAAACAAGATGTTCAACATTCTTCATTTAACCAGAGTTAAAATGCAGTAAACAGCTGCTTTATCGTGTCGGAGTTTGGAGAATATTACGACTCACTGAGCTTCGGACTGGTCATTTGCTGACACTGGATTGATTGACAGGTTGCATGGTGGAGCAGACTTGTGGAAAAAACAAACACGAGAGCTGCAAAAGACTTGTACAACTTTATTCTCGTACAACTTTATTCTCATATATTAAGACTTAATTAGACTTTATTCTCGTAATTTTATGGCTTTTAATATTTTTTATTTTTAGCGTGGCCCTAAAGCTGACTCGTACAGCGGTCACTCTTTCAGGGATGAAGATGTTCACGTCCTTGATCAGTGTTTCCCCTAGATAACTTGCCACGGCGGGGCGCTCATCTCGTCTGAGATTTTTGTCCAGGGGGGCGCTGGAACGGAGACTCGTCCTCAGCTGCGCAGAGCCAAGTTTAAACCAACAGTTTTGGGGGACACAGATACAGCCGCGTGCTGTTTGTACTGACAGTTTTAGAGCAGGGTGTGTGAGAGGAGGGATACAGAGACATGTCTCAGCCGCGCGCTGTCTGAACCGACAGTTTTCGAGTGGCGGGGGTGAGTTCAGCGTGAGGGTTTAGCGTGAACGAAGAGGCTGCCTTTAGCTTTTAGCTAGTGCACCTGCATTGCGAGCCGCTAGTTTAGCATTACGTCAGTGCAGACAGATGGGTGGGGGTGGGGGGTGGGGTTCGGTAGACGGGGCGCTCGGTTCTGTTGACGGGGCGGGGCTCCCCGACTAAAATGGTAGGGGAAACACTGTTGATAGGGAGGAACAATGGTTTGAGAGAGGAGTAAAGGAGGCCATCTTTGTGAAAAGGAATTGTCCATCATTAAACAGGGGTGGAGCCTCTGGGTTCAACTGTCCCCCTTTTATGCGTGAGAGAAGCGGAGCGCTACGTCTGTAGCTTTTTAGTTAGCATGTCTGTATTGCGTGCCGCTAAATTAGTTACGTCAGTGCCGGCAGTTGTTGTTGACTGGGGGGAGAGAAAGACAATTATGGTAGGCAGGGCACTGGTTCTGTTGACAGGGCGAGGCACCCTCCTTGGACAACAGTAGAGGAAACACTGAATATGGATTCTGGACCTCTCCACTCTTCCTCCAGACTCTGGGACCTTGATTTTCAAATGATATGAACATTTATTTTACTCTGAAATAAGGACATTGGACCATTGAGAGACAGTCCAGCTCGTTGTCTCCTCAGCAGGTAAGACACTTCTGATGTCTCTGGGTCAGGAGTGGCTGGACTTGAGGAGTGAGACATTTGTAACTCATGTCCAGCAGTTCGTCAGCTGATCACCAGCAGTTTACAATATTCAACCTCTTCACAATATTATCATTTACTGAGACCCTAATTTTTGGTTTCTCATTATTTGTAAGCCATACCGTATTTTCCGCCGTACACATCGCACCACCTATATTTGTCTAATAAAGTGGAAAAATCCATAAATACGTTGCTTCGCTGTATACGTCACATCTATTGTGTCACCGCTGATGCGTCGCGTTTGTTATGTCACCACTGACAACCCGGAAATGTGGGCCGATGTTGAGCCCAAAATCGATTGGCAGGATGATGCACGGGAAGACTTTAACAAGAATGTAACAACATTAACACTTAAAAACAATTATTTGTTTGCATGACTTTATAGTAAAGGCGTGTCTCAGTCTAACGTTTTATTAATAAAAGGACTTTAACGGTCAAATCAGTTGTATTTCAAAAGTATTTGCTGCCTCTGTGCTCTGGTAGCACGCAGACAGGGAGGAAAAAAGGAGGAATGCTGCGCGTTTCTTCAAAATTTAACAAGATAACCACCTAAAACAATTATTTCTTTACTCGAAATGATAACAAAGGTGTGTCTCGGTTAACTTTTAGTTAATAAATTCACTTCAATGGTCAAATTAGCTGCATTTCGCCGGGGCGATGCAGCAAAATAAAGTTGATTTGATGGTTGCTCCAAGCAGCGAACAGAGCGAAGGTGGGAGACTATGGCAAGCCAAATGTATCATTAATAGCTGGTGAAGATTCTCAGTCATCCAGGACATTGTAAATTCAAAAACGTTCAAGACAAAAACAATCAAGTATAATGTATAATAAATAAAGTCAGGTTGTTTTTGTCTTGAAAGTTTTTGAATTCATGATTATAGCCACTTTTATCTATTAATTCAATTCAATTCAGTTTATTTATATAGCGCCAAATCACAACAAAGTTGTCTCGGGGCACTTTACAGGAACTTTCACATACATAAAAGCCATTTAGTAAAGTTCTCTATCTAAGGAATTACGAATGATACAACGGCATGCCTTACTAATCTGAACCATCTGAAAATGGTACTGTTCAATATTTTTCAGTCAGAATGAATGAAAACAGTCATATCTCAGCAAAAGTTGGTTTATAAATATGCAAAAAAAATCCATGAATATGTTGCTTCGGCATACACGTCGCAAGGCATGCAAATTATGCAAAAAACTGTGACTTATACAGCAAAAAGTACATTAATTATCAACATTACAAGAAATAAAGTCTTGAAATATTTCACCATGTGTAATGAATCTATATACGAGTTTCACTTTCTGAAGTGACAGAAAATATTGAACTTTTTCACAAAATCCTCACCCAGTCCCGTCACCACCATGGCTCCCAGGTCTGCAACATAGTTTCCCTTCCTAAATGTGGCCACTCTTCCCCCGACTCGGTCCTGCAGGGTGAAAGAAAAGTTGTTTTTAAATGGAGAAATTGCATTTTCTGCCAAAGTATAGATGTGGATGCTGAGTGCTGAATGACACAAGCTAAAATGAGCAAACCCACAGCTAAAAAGATAAAATTAGCAAATATGTAGCTAATCTACATTTAGCAAAACAGTAGCTAAAAAAGGAGCATAAGAGAACAAAGACAGAACAAATATGTTTTAATAGGTTCAGAGATTGTAACTAATTGTCATTTTATAGTATGTGATTGTTTCTGTACGGTGACCTGAGATGACTTTTGTTAAATGGAGCTGTCCAAGTAAACTGATTTGAACAAATTTTTAAATTTGAAAATATCACGTTTTTCTTTAGAACATTTTTGTACATATACGTATTTTCCAGCACATAAGTTGCTCCGAAGAATAAGTTGCATTTATTATGCATCACCGCTGACCCGGCACATTTATTTAATGGTCAAAACAATTTCATTTTGCTTGGGCGACGCCATCCATTGCGGCCTGAGCTGCTAGCTCTCCAGCGTTCCTCTGCCTGCACCAGCTGAGTGAAGCGAGCGCGCACGGGAGGACTCGCTTTTGCAGTTCTTAGAAATCTAAAGCATCAGTCAAAAATTGCATTATGAATATGGGAGGGAAAAAAAAAACGTATACAAGTCGCTTCAGTGTATAAGTCACAGGACTGAAATCTAAGACTGTGATTCATTCAATGGAAAATATGAGTAACTCAAAAAGTATAAAAGTTACAAATATGGTAAGTGACAGCAAACTATTCCTAATCAAGTCAAACGTTTTGATATATGAATGGCAAAAGTATGTAAAGTAGTTTGGGTCGTCATAAATGCACAGAAAAATCTAGAAGCAGGAGCCCCAATAAGTACCATCTTTATTCTGATGATGGTCCAGTGTCAACATTTAAAAGTTCATGCAATTTATTTTAAAAGTAGTTTCTTTCGGATGCTCTCTTCTTCAGGGGTTGCTACAATGAGTGAACCAACATGAACGATCTAGCAGCTGTTTTTTGCCGGATGACCTTCATTAACGCAAACTGGGCTTGAACCGGCTGCCCCAGGATTACAAGGCTGCAGCACTTAACCACTGAGATACAATTTATTTTGAAACTAAGGAAATATTTCAATATTCTCACAATACTTTCAATAAAGTACTTACTTTACAATCACAAAACAAGATACAGGTCCAGCTACATGAAGAGTTTATTGTAGGCTCTGTGGTGACCTACCCTGGCTTCCAGGACGGTAACATCCATCCCAAAGCTCTGCAGCTGCCGGGCAGCAGCCAGACCAGACACACCTCCACCAATCACGATAACCTTCCCTGTTTTCTTCGCTGCAACAACAAACACAAAGGCCTCAACTGGAGATTACTTCTGACTGGGTCATGCTCAGTGTGAATGATTTTTTAAAAGACAACGTTAATGCGCTGAATGAAGACTTACTGGGTAACGGCTTGACTCTTTTGTAAATGCCAAAGTTAATCAGGCCGTGTCTTTCTAAGTAGCTGTGAATCCGGTGAACCAACACAGCATCACCTACAAAAAGAGGATGGGAACATGAACTCACGTTCCGTTAGAAGAAGGAGAATTAAAAACAGTGGCTGTTAAAGTTCAATTGCGAGTCTCACTGTTGTATGGAGCTTCAAGCTGCTGCGCTGTGGCCTCAAACGTTATTTGAATTTTAGGGTTGTCCAGCCACAGTTGGATCTGGATGAAAACATTATGAAATGTGTTTAAAATAAGATATCTTGTGGTTCGTTTGTCAAGAAATTAAATGGAAATGGTACGTACGGTACGGTTCCTGATGTACAGGAAGACCTTCTGAGTCTGTTGAGGGCCACTGATGATGTCGGGGAAGCAGGCGGCCTCTTGAGACGTCATCCTGTCATGTGGAAGGCGGCTCTGAAAAGCAGCTCCTTCCAGACCTGTTAAAAAACACATTTCTATTTCTTCAATAATTTTCAGCTCAACACTAAATGTATTATTTCTTCTGTTCTGTTCATTTCTGGGGAACAGCCATGATGTTTCTGGGTCTTTTTGACCTGGGGAATATTTAATCACGCAAGAGGGTCAGAAACCAAATAAATTAAAAAATCCTCAAAAACATTTTTGTTTCTGATTATTAACTCCATTATTAACCATTTCAATCAATATTTAGTGCATTTATGTTCTTTAACTCTCATAGTTAAAGGAGCAAAAGGATATGTAAAGGATCATCACTGACATGAGGCCTCTGTCGATGGTTGAAGACGAAGGCTTCACTACAATGATCCACACTTTTAATCCAGGTTACAATAATCTGCACTTTTAATCCAGGTTACACTCTTCCCTCAAGAACACATTTTACAAAGTAGCTAAATATTGTGCAGGTATAAAGCATAGTTTGTATATATTTTTGTGTACATTAAGTTTTTTATCAAAGCTATTTGACTAACTTTTAAATTTTTTATTAACAAAAAAACAAAGTTAGATCTCACAAAATGCCTCAGTTACAGATATTGGCTTCCCGTTCCGTAAACTGATGGACGGCAGCTCCCTCCGGCTTCTCTGCAGTCTTTTATCATCAAACTGACCCGTTTTTCAAACCAGACTAAAGTTGGTCCCCATTCCAACCGAATTCAGTGTTCAGTGACTCAGAGTGTCGGACGGGACCGTCCAAAAAAAAATTTCCCACCCCACCAGTCACTGAGCGCACCCTGCCGGCCAGGTGACCACTCGAGCTGGGGAGTCGTCGCACGAAGGTTGGGTGTTTTTTTTCCTCTCTCTCTCTCTCTGGACCCCAACAAACTTCTCATCTGGACCTTTGTGGGTCTACCTGGTTCCGACAAGAACCGCTGGGTGGTCATTTGCTGGCTTTTTCACTGGTTTTCTGCTGGACTAGCCCCTCGTGGTGTCTTCATTCAGTGTGGGGAAGTGTACCCGTGTCCTTGAACAGGACCAGAACCGAACAGAGTTGGTTGTGGGGGAGTTCGTCTTCAATAGAGCCGGTGTCAGCCTCAGTGAGCAGCCCGTTACCTTTTAACGAAGGACTGTCCACCTCCGTGGGAATTGCTGTGTTCGCCTGGAGGAGACACTCTGATGTTATGAAGCACCGCCGGAACCGGACCGGAGCAGAATCGGGCTAGGGACAACTTCAGCCACTTCAGCCTCTCCGGTCAGTCTCTTCCATTTTTCACCGGGGGTGGCCTCTTGTGCTGTTGGGTGCGGCCGTGACGTGCAAAGAAGCGGAGCACGGCGGAGCAACGCTGTGTGGTGCTCGAGAGAAGTCCAGAGTTTACATTGGAGTTGATGTAGACCTCCATCCGAACTCACCTGGATAATAATTATTTTTATTCCGGATCATGGTGTTGTCCCCTGTTGACCTGAAACGAGCTAGGACCATGCCTTTCATTTCAGGAGGATTTTCTGGCAGCTCGCTCTGCTATTTGCTGCGAAGTATCTGTTTCTGCCTGTTGATTCTGGACCCAGCTTCTGTTTCACATGGGAGCATCCATCCATCTTCCCAGGGGGGCCGAAGCCCCCCTCAGCCCAACTCAAACTGCAGTTGGGTCACCTCGTCGAATTTGTTTGCCCATTTGATTTGTGACGCTTTATGGTCTGAGACTTTTCTGCACCATTCATATTATTGTCATTATTTTCAGATCTCATATTATCTGGAGTCACTGAATCTTGTTAATACACCTGGATCTGCCCATCACTGCAACTTTCACTGTTTTTAGGTTCTGAATAATCGCGTCTTCATTAATGTTTCTCATGGTTCGATTCTGGGGCTAATTGTCACACTACTAACTTCTGTAATTACTAGGACCGAGTTCCGAATCGAGGTTCTTTTATGGCATCGACCGAACTGCACCGGTCGGTGTATGTATTGAAACGTCACTCTTCTTTTGGTGTCAAGTTTTGGTATTGGCTGTAACGTGTCACGTGGTTTCAGCATGCAGGCAGGTAAAACACCAGACATATGTGTAGTGAACTAGACCTCCTACATCAATCTGTCTCTGAAGACCTTCATGGGACCTCAGAAGCTAACTAAAGATTGACAGTAACATAAATCTTAGCTTGTAAAACTGCTCATCCATCCAGTCAGCTGCTTAAACAGTTCACCTAATGTTCACTGTTTATGTTAATGTTCTCCTCACAGGAGGTTCTGACCCTGATGTGAGGAGGACAAAAGAAAAGCGAGGTGGATGTGTTACAGGACAGTTAGGGAGATGATCAGAGCCCTAAATCACAGAGAAGATTCAGGCAAACACACAGAGGTGCAGAAGTCTGCATCATTCCTACCTCAGTGAATCCAGTGACCTGCTGGTGGAATGTGAGGGACAATATCTCAGTGCTATCAAACTGACAACCAGGTATCTGTGTGTGCAACAATCATCATCCACAGCCTCAGAGTGAACATGTTCTACTGCTGGAGACACCATCAGCCAGGAGCGGGCTTGTTTGTGTCTAGAGAAAACAGACATGTTGATTTTTCTGAAGAAAAACTGTGAAGTGAAAAGGTCCAGTGTGTAGCAGTGAGCATTAAACACTGATATGCCACTGGTTTGAAACTGGTCTTTTGAACTGGAAATTATTTGTTTGTTTTCATGTAAGAAAACTGCTTGGAATAGAAAAATACCAAAGCTAAAAAATAAAACTCACAATTTGTACTGTAATGTGTAACGTCATTTTGTTCTTGTTAGAATTAATAGTAATTACAAAATTGGTACCGAAAAAAGAACCGTCCAGGAACTGACACCGAAGTGAAGGTACCAACCGAAGTGAAGGTACCGACACGGGTACCAATACCGATTTTTTTAGAAAGGTACCCAGCCCTAGTAATTACACATCAGTCACGAAAAACTCAAGAAAATGTCTGATAATAATGTTGTTACTGCTCTCAGGGATTCAGCCCAATCCTGGACACCCCACTAATTACAGCACACCAAATGACTTTAAAAACATGTCTGGTCTTCATTTTCTGCATGTAAACACACGTAGCCTTCTGAGAAAACTTGATGCCTTGAAAATTCTGGTCAGTTCTTCTGGGGCAGATGTAATCTTCATCTCTGAAACCTGGCTCAACAAATCTGTACTGAATAATAACCTGGTAACCAATGGATTTAACATCTACCGCTGTGATCGTCAAAAAAAAAGGGGGGGGGGGGGTAAGTCGCTATTTACATCAGAGATTCTCTGGTTTCTAGTCGTGTGTCTACTAAAACACTTCCAAACCAGTTTGATGCCTTGGCTGTAAACATCACTTTGAATGAAGGCCAGATCTTATCTGTAGTGGGTTGTTATCGTTCCTCCTCAGCAACACCTGAGACTCTGTCCGCCCTGATGAAATTCCTTGGAAATTTAAAATTCAAAGAGATTTTTTGGCAGGAGATTTCAACATTGACTGGACTAAATCGACCCCCCTCTGTGATAAATTCAAGGAATGTTACCCGTCTCTCAATATAAACCAACTGATCGACTCTCCCACTAGACCAAACAAAAACCGTCCTGAAAAATCCTCCATCTTAGACCTGTTTCTAACTAATATGCCTCACAAATTCCCTGGTACAGGTGTTTTCGTTGACATTTTGAGTGATCACTGTGTGACAGCGACTCAGAGATATTAAACTTCCATCTTCTAAGCCCAGGTTAATTAAAAAAAGGGATCTGAAACGTTTTTGTGAACAGTCGTTCCTCTGGGATCTGGCTCACTTTGACTGGTATCGTATTCTATTAACTGATGACGTGAACTCCGCTTGGAACTATTTTCATAATAGTTTCATTTTTTTCGTGAACAAACATGCTCCTTTTCGTCAGTTCAGAATAAAGGGACGAGACAGCCCCTGGTTTACTCCAGAGCTAGCTGACCTCCTGCACAGAAGAGATCATCTTTGGGCTGCAGCGAGAAAATCTGACTCAGACACTGATTGGTTGAGTTTTCGACAGATGAGGAATAAATGCACAACTGCTGTCAAAGCAGCAAAACAATTATTTCTTATCTCAGATCTCCAAAAATCTAAATAACCCCAACAGATTCTGGAAAACCATCAAATCTCTCTCAGGCACCCCCCAATCATCTGACCCCCCATCACAACTTCTCATTAACTCTGTTCCTGTGTCAAATAAGCACGAGATCCTGAACTGTTTCAACAAACATTTTGTTGCTTCTAGTTCTTAATTTGACACAGTCACTAATGGAAAATCAGCCACTTCACTTAATAACCAAACTTCTACAAATCAAATCCCTCCTACAAGTAGGGGTTGAACGATTACATAATTTTTAAACTAGACATTAACATAAAACTCGAGTAGAACTCGAGTACTTGATGACGTCATAGGATCTCAAGATGCAAAAATAAATAAATAAATAAATAAATAATAAATAAATAAACATTTACAAAAAAAAAAGATCAACAAAACATTGGGAGAGTATATTATGCTCCTACCATTTATCATAATGCAAATAAGTCACAGGAAAGCCAAAACTATTAGTTATTATTATTATTAAGCTGCAAAAGTGAAAGAAATGTCCGGCACATAAAAAATGAAACTTAAAAACAGTGGGGCGCTCAACCACCCTGCACCACCGCCCGCAGTGTTGCGCATTAGGTTTAGTTTTAGAGATTAATATGTTTATACAGTGGGGAGAACAAGTATTTGATACACTGTTGATTTTTCAGGTTTTCCCACTTGCAAAGCTTGTAGATGACTGTAATTTTTATCATAGGTACTCTTCAACTGTGAGTGATGGAATCTAAAACAAAAATCCAGAAAAATACAATGTATGATTTTTAAATAATTAATTTTCATTTTATTGTGTGAAATAAGTATTTGATCATCTATCAACCAGTAAGAATTTTGGCTCTCACAGACATGTTAGTTCTTCTTTAAGAAGCCCTCCTGTTCTCCACCCATTACCTGTATTAACTGCACCTGTTTGGAC